ATACTACAAGTGGTGATAGCAGTGATCGTCGGTTGCTATGTAGTTGTAGTTTAATGCGGTGTTGTATAGTGTAATTTGAGGATGGATATAAGGCTGTTAAGATTCTTGATGACATCATTTTGGGAGATGTTAATGTTATTGTTTTGTTTTTGTTTTTGTTTGTCGTCTTGTTTTTACTGTTTTGTGGTGGCATTTATGTGTCAAATTTGTAGTAGTGGTAGTACTAGTAGTAGTAGTAGTAGCAGCAGTAGTAGAAGTAGCAGTAATAGTAGTAGTAGTAGAAGTAGCAGTAGTAGTAGAAGTAGCAGTAGTAGTAGCAGTAGTAGTAGTTAGTAGTAGTAGTAGTAGTAGTTAGTAGTAGTGGTAGTAGTAGTAGTAGTTGTAAGAAGAATTAGAACGATTCCGTTGTTGTGACGTTCGTGTTGTTTTTTGCATTTCGAAAAAGAATGAATTTTTCTATTCCCTGCAATTTCGTTCTTAAAAATCGTTTTTTTCAAATTAAAAAAAATTTCATTGCCATGAAGTTTTTGTTTTTTTTTTCAGTTTTTTGTTTCCGTTTTCTCTTTTCATCATCATCATTTCCTTCTTCTTCTTCTTTGTCTTCTTCTTCTTCTTTTTCTTCTTCTTTTTCTTCTTCTTTTTCTTCTTTTTCTTTTTCTTCTTTTTCTTTTTCTTCTTCTTCTTCTTATAAAAACCACCTATAGTATAATCAAAACTGTCTATTTTAATAATAAAAATAATCTAAGTAGTATCGGTTGTACTTACAATGGTAGAAGTGGTAGTAGTGATGGTATAGTAGTAATTGTAGCAGTAGTAGTTATAGTAGTAGCAGCAGTAGTTGTAGTAGCGACAGTAGCTTTAGTATTTAACAGCAGAAGCGACAAATCAAAAATCACTTAAACAAATTAAGAATCACTTAAACATATACTAATGTATTAGTAATGTACTAATAAAAATAAGTAATAGTAGTACTTATATAAGTGGCACTAGTTCTACTGAATAGTACATAAACATACCAAGTGACATAGTAACCCAAGGCAATACATGTCCGTGTTACAGGTTTATATCACACGCTGACTGACCGCAACCAAAAGATTTTTTCTTCTTTTCATTTCTCTCTTTCTCTCTCTCTCCCTCTCTCCCTCTTTCTCTCTTTTTCTTTCTCTCTTTTTCTCTCTCTCTTTTTCAAATTACCATGCAAATCAATATCACTTTTGTTTTTGTTTTTTTTTCTGTGGACTTTAGCTTTCCAAAATTTTTTAGGGCCTCAAAATGTTTTGTCCCAAGATTATTATTATTATTAGAAGTAGTAGTAGTAGTAGTGGTAGTAGTGGTAGTAGTAGTGGTAGTAGTAGTGGTAGTAGTAGTAGTAGTGGTGTTGTAATAATAATAGTAGTATTGACAGAAGTATTTGTAATATTTTAATTTTTTTCAAAAACGGTTTATTTGCGTATTTGAAAACATAAAAAAGATAATAAAAATAAACAAAAGATAAAAAACAAAGACAAAAAACAAAGACAAAAATATCGCGTGTAAGAGTGTGAAGGAATTGTTGACATGCAACTAGTAACACACTCGTTTGTATGTATGTTTGTTTGTTTATATGATTGTATATATGTATGTTTGTTTGTTTCCTATGTCATTTAATACATTTTGTGTCTTTTGTTTTTTTTATTTTTCAAGGCTTTTGTTGCTGTTGCAGCTGTGTTGTTTTTTTTAGCAAATAATCGTTCCACATCTTCATCACACCTCGAACATTGTTTTTCGCTTTATTTATTTATTTTTTCAAAGTTTTTTAGTTTAATTTTATTTTTCAGTTTTTAATTGACAACTTCACAGCAGTTTTTATGTTTTTATGAAAGAAAAACGTCTCAGAAGTTTTTTTTTCAAAAACATTTTGCTACTATTATTGGGCGTTGAAAGGATTATTTTATTTTTAAAAATTTTTATTTTCGAAACTGAAGTTGTTTGTTTGTTTGTCTGTTTGTTTGTTTGTTTGTCTGTCTGTTTGTTTGTTTGTTCGCTTGTTACTTATTTGTTTGTCTGTTTGTTTTTTTTGTTGTTAATGTTTATGTTTACGTCGTTGTATTTGTTTAGGTTTAAATTATTTTTAAAGGTTATCAACATCATTGTTGTTATTAAGTTATGTAAGTAAATGAACTCTCTCTCCCTCTCTCTCTCTCTCTCTCTCTCTCTCTCTCTCTCTCTCTCTTTCTTCTCACACACTTGTATATATATAAATATTTGTATTTATACTTATATGTTTATATAATGTATATGTATTATTTATAAACTTCTTAATTCCATATTAGCCGAATTTATTTAAGAAGATTTTAGATTAAAGTTTATTTTCGCAGATTAAAGCAAGAATAGAAATGAAAAAATGATAATAATAATAATAACAATAATAATAATAACAGCATTAACAACAACAGCAATAACAACAGTTACAACAACAACAAAAATCAATTTTTCAGCACGTCATCAATCATGTTTGACGCAAAATTATGGTATAGTGTTTCAATTGATTTTAGCATACACTATTTTCATCCATATTATTGTTATTATTATTATTATTATTATTATTGAAACTTATAATAATAATAAGAATAATAAGAATAATAAGATGACGAAAATACCTTTGGAAACTTATAATAATAATAAGAATAATAAGATGACGAAAATATCTTTGCTTATGTTGTTTGTCATTGTTCATATTGTAACTACTACAACTACAGCTGCTTTTTGCTGCTTCTTCAACTATTGCTAGTACTACTGCTGTACTACCATTAAGGTTACTGCAACTACTGCTGCTGTTGTTCTTGTGATTGTTGTTGTTGTTAGCACTACTACTACAACTACTACAACTACCACTTTTCTTAATAAAAATAATAAGAACGTGAGAACTATAAATTGTATAGCGCATTGTAATAACAGGAAAATACACAGGCGCACTTACGTGTAACGACTTGTTGTTGTTGTTGTGGTTTTTGTTGTTGATGTTGTTGTTGCTGTTTTTGTTGTTGCTGTTGTTGTTGTGGTTTTCGTGGTTGAATTAGTTGCATCTGATTGGATCGGTGCTTACTGGAGCCAGTGTTAAAAGGTGAACCAATGAATAATAAATTACTTAAATAACAATTACTTTGGTGTCAAGTTGCAACAGCAACAAAAACAGCAACAACAACAACATCATCAGCATCATCAACATCAATGGCGCCAACAACATCAACAACAATACCAACAGTAACAACAACAAAATCTGTCCAAAAATGGTGGTTGTTATCTCGAGAGCGCGACATTTTCGTGAATTGAACGAAGATTTTTTGCGAAGCAAATCTTCAAGTAGAAAAATGGAAAGAGAGAGAGAAAAAGAGAAAGTGAGAAAGAGAGAGACAGAGAGAGAGAGAGAGAGAGAGAGAGAGAGACAGAAAAAAACAAAGTAGAAAAAGAATGTAAAAAAAAGAATGAATAAAGAGATACAAATATAGGGAAAAAAGAATTGGATGGACAAAATAGGAGAGAGAAAGAGAGAGAGAGAAAGAAAAAAAGAGAGAGAAAGAGGAAGAGGAAGAGAAAGAGGAGGGGCGGAGAAGAAAAAAAGTATAAAACTATAATTATCACATATTATATATATATATATATCAAATCAAATCACTTTCAAATCAAATCACTTTTATTCAATCAAACAAAATATATATATATATATATATATTGATACATATATATATATATATAATTTTACAAATTATTTTTGAAGTTATTTCTAGCTAACAAGATAAAATTATTATCGCGTGACGTGATTGAGATGAACAAAGAATAACAAAATAAAATATGAAAATTTAATTAAAATTTTAATAAAAAATTTATTTGTTTTTGGTATAAGCAAGAAAATAATTGAAGAAATGGATGAATGAGTGATTAAATAATAAATCGATTGATTGATTTCCATACGCAGTCGAACCACTGCAGCCATGGCTTGCTAATTTAGAAGACTCTCTTTTTTATTTCTATTCAGCAACAACCAATACGAAGCTTGCTCTGCGCTACTAATAACTGCCTGACAGTCAGTCCCACCTCTTTGAAAAGTTTATACATCGACACTCCCACTGCTCCTCTTGCAATATCCTCAACAGCGTAGAGCCTGGTCTTGTATCCTTTCTTGTTTAAATCTTGAACCAGCTGTTCATACTTTGCAGTTTTTAAATTGCGGCTACTGAGCATGTTATCTTCGCACGACACAGTCAGTTCAATAACGATAGCTATATTCGAATTCTCAGATGCCACCACCGAGTCAGGTCTCATGTCTGTCCTTTTGATGTACTTTGAAAAATTCTGTCTTAAAACCAGTCTACACCCTGTTTTGTGCTTTGTGCTAACATTCTTGCTGCCGCGTTTAATATTGATTGAACACAGTCCTGTAGAAACAAATTGGCTCCATACATTATCGAGTAGGAGAAGTCAACTCCACTACAGACAAAACTCTGAACAAGTGTTTTTGCTGACTCAACGTCCAATAATACGACGAATTTGCGAGACGGAAGCCACAGAGCTGAATTTCATCTGCATATGAATGACATTGTAGGTCAGATTCTTCAAGGCTTTAATAATATCAGCTGTGTATAACACATAACAACAATGGACCAAGTACCGATCCCTGCAAAACTTCTCAGTCAATTTTGATCTAGCAATGTATGTATGTATGTATGTGTGTGTGTGTGTGTGTGTGTGTGTGTATGTATGTATGTGTGTGTATGTATGTATGTATGTCTGTGTGTGTGTGTGTGTGTGTGTATGTACGTATGTATGTATGTATGTATGTATGTATGTATGTATGTATGTATGTATGTATGTATGTATGTATGTATGTATGTATGTATGTATGTATGTATGTATGTATGTATGTGTGTATGTATGTTAAAACCAAAACATGATGAGTGACACTGAACCGTCAAACATCAAGTAACAAATGGATCAACACTTTGATTTGTCGTTAATTGCACATGTCGGCATTCAGTTGGATATTTTCAAGCACTCAGACACGCAGGAACCGCTGCAACAAGCACGAAATGTGGTTAGTTGCGAAAAATAGTTTCCTGCTGTCGCCTGATCTGACGCTGATCATTTTGCATATTGCCTTAAGAAATTTAAGGGTGTTGGGGTCCATCGGGCCGAAAACCTCGATACATATTGGCAAGAATTCCATTGAGGGGAGGGCGTTCCCATATTTTTTCATTTTCTCGTCCACTGCCCTGGCCGCGGCCATACTGCATTCTTTACTTGTCAGGTTTACGTATCATTCGGCGAGGGTGCCAGGGACCGTAACATCCCACGCCAAACATCTGCCGGCTCTCCAAGGTATTAGTGTGCATCCGTCCGGGCGCCTACCATCATGCGCAGAAATGCCGGATGGTTCCTTGAGAACCGGAATTGAAGCCTTGGAGAAGAGCCGACAAATGTATTCGTTTAGCTGAGTGACGTAGTTGACGGCCCCCACCCAGGCGACAAACCAAACCGTGGTGCCCAAACTCGTACGCCCCTGCGCCTCATCGGCACGTGTATTTATTCTGAATGACCAGGCCAAGTCTGAAGCCAATGGCAAATCTCACAGACTCGTCGTCAAGCCTGGTGCCCACAGAGGTGTTGGGCCACGATCTCAACCACCCACAGCTGGCAACGCTGGACATGGCCAACAAACGAGCGGTGGAAAAGTCGTCGCCACATGAAGACAACAAATTTTGAAAAATTTTTTTATATTCTTCGTTCAAAATTTGGACGTGCGTACGGTTCCCCGGGGCGGACACTGGGGGAAGAATATCGCGGCAACGAAAAAACCGGTGGAGCAGGGAAGACTGCAGGTCGAGAGTGGCAGCGGCAGAAGAATTATAAACAACGGGAGCCAGCTGAACCACGCTAAGCAACCCCAGCCCACCAAATCGCACCGGCAGCTGAGCCTGGGACCAACCACTGTCGGTCACTTAAACATTGCAAATCGACGACAGGGCGGTGCGCAGGACTCCGTCAAATTCGCCCAATTTAGAAGGATCAATGTGTTTGGATGTATGCAGGAAGTACATCAATTTGGGCAAACTGAGGGCATTGCGGATAATAGTCAAGGCATCATGGGCCGAAAGACAGGAAACACGACCCAGGGCGAATTTAAGCTCAGAGAGCTTTTGGTCAAAAAACTTTATTTGATAATCGCCCTCGATCAAGGGTGTGCCTAAAAAACTCAGTTCTGATGCACCAACTCTGGGTATTCCAGCCAGCGCATGTGGCACCTGAAATAAACTTTGGCAGTGAAGTTTGCATTTTTTAATGTTTAACTCTAAACCAATTGCAGAGGAGTTATGCTTCAAATATTTGTAGCTATCGGCCAGAGTTGGGCCGTCCGAAGCAATGCTGATATCATCCAGATAAGCGCAAACGAAAGTGGACGAAGCTTTCTCTAAGAGTGGATGAAAAGTTAGTGCGAACAGCAAAGGACCAAGGGGATCACCCTGCTGTACCCCCTCGGACGATTCTACAACCCAAGAGTGGTAGCCAAGGGAAGAGACTCCGCCATAGGCAGAATGGCAAAAATTATAGATATTGGGGCAAAAAAGTTTGACAGCCTCCAACATCGAGTCTCTTCTCAAGGCCTTGAAGGCATGTATGTATGTATGTATGTATGTATGTATGTGTGTGTATGTGTGTATGTGTACGCATGTATGTATATATTTACGGGTATTTTTTGCTCTCAAATTCATAAGCGAAGGATGTACGCATGTATGTATGCATTTACGGGTATTTTTTGCTCTCAGATTCATAAGCGAAGGCATGCATAATGCAAAAGACTGCAATCCACGTCATCACTTAAGTTAAAATGTTTTTTATAGCTTTTGATTTTTTTTTTATTACTTCTAACTACCTATATATTATTATCATTGTTATTTGTTATTATTATTGTTACTATGGTGTAGCGGTAATGTGCCTGGCAGTGCCCCTGCAGTGACCTGATTAGATCGCAAAGAGACACCCGCCCATCATTCGTTGTTCCACGTTTATTTACACGCACCGTGTGTCTGTTGTTGATGCATTTGAAAAATTTTGAAAAAATAAATATGATAATTTAATAAATAAAGACATATTATTATTATTTTAAATAATTTTTGTTGTTTTTGAGGTGTCTTTGGTTAGATATTGATTTATTAGATTTTTAGATATATATATATATATTTATAGATATATTATAGATATTTAGATTTGGTTACATATTTTTTTTCTCTTAATTATATTATTGGGCGATAATTTATGCAGAGATATGATAATTTACTTATCTTTGGCTTTTATTTATCTTCTTGGTCCCTCGCCATTGAAGTCTTCTTGCAGCATCTCAAATTTTTCTATTCAGTTATTGTATGTGTGTTTTTGTTTGTATCTATGTGTATGTGCATGTATGTGTGTGTGTATGTGTTTATCCGTGTGTATGTGTGTACGTATATACGCGTGTGTGTATTTTGTTCCTAATAAAAAATTAGTTTTCCCCAAACAAAAACAATAAATCATTGAAAGCCAAAATGATATATATTCTCGCTCATTTTTAAACAGACACATGCACACGCGCACACACACACACACACACGCACAAACACAGACATTCACGCACACATATATAAATATACGTACACTTAAACATATTTGTTCATATTTTACTTATTTATGATCAGAAAAACTTGGATGAAAAATTTTTTTTCTGAAATGTTCGGATCCTACAAACTCCATGATTAAATGCACCGGCTATCGTAGAAATTAATCAAAATTTTCTATCTATGCAGTCTATGCTATTATTTATTTATTTATCTTTGTTTCTTTCTATGTTATTATTGGTTGTTGTTGTTGTTGGCGATGTTGTTGATGATGACGTTGTTGTTAATGATGACGTTGTTGTTTTTACTTTCATTTGCCCACTGATTATAATTGATGGGATGTGCTTATGATATTTATTAGGCTTATAAACGCACTTGTAAATCTACACGTACATAAAAATACATACAGACACATACAGACACACATACATACGCCCAAACAGTAATAAATTGATGAATTGTAAATTGAATGAAGCCAGAGAATTATACAGATGACGAAACAAAAGCAAACAAAAAAATCACCCGATGAATAAATTAACTGATCAAAGTTTATTTGTTCATTCCTTCATTCATCCATTTATTTGTTTCTTTGTGTTTTCGTTCGTTCGTTTGTTCATTTATTTGTTCGTTCATCATTCATTTATTCATTTGTTTGCCTGCTTGTTTGTCCAACTGATCAACCATTAAATCAGTGATTAATTCAATTAAGAAATTATTTAAATCATTCACTAATCAATCAATCAACCCGCAATCAATTAATTAACCATTCAACCAATTAGTCAACCAATCAATCAATCACTCAATTAATTAGCTAACCAACCAACCAATCAGGAAAGACCCTCTTCAAGCGAGTCATCCTATTGGGTACGAGCTCTCTCACTCCATCAATTATCATTCACAACCCACTAAAATCAGCCATCAGGATAGCTAAAAGACTGAACTGCTACAACTCCACAGCCACCAACGCGACGACAACCACATCATCATCATCATCATCGTCATTGACGTCCTCCTCATCATCTTCCTCATCATCTTCATCAACCACAACAACACAAGAGTTAGTCGAATGTTTAAAAAAACAACCCTACCAAAAGTTAGCTAGCTTCACGTTTGCTGGTCGTTTTAAAGCCTTCGGAAGACTACCTCTAGGTCCAGTGCTCGAATCTCAAATCGTCCCAGTGGCGGTTTTGCTAAATCCCTTCTGGAGTAAGATGGCCAGAGGGAGAGATGATGAAGGAAAGGTGGGAGAGGAGAGAAATAACGATGATGATGGTGATGGTGGTGAGGAAGATTATGACGGTGGTGGTGATGGTGATGATGATGGTGGTGGTGGGGCGGGTGAATACTTTGGTTTATTTAGTACTCGTAAGAGACGAAGGGTGAACTTGAACCGGAAGGAGCGCGTTGGTTATGTGAATAATAATAATAATAATAATAATAATAATATTAACAATAATAACACGTCTCAACATAATTTTATGACGAACTCTTATCAACAACAACAACAACAACATCAGCAATATCAACAACAACATCAACAAAAACGTCGACAAAGACCAAATTATCAAAATACTCATCATCAACAACAACGACGACGACTGCAACAACAACAACAACAGAAACAACAATTTCGACGTCACTCAGAGCAGCAGCAGCTACAACAGCTGCAAACATCATCACCACCATCGGCGACAACATCTGCCCATTTACAAAAACGCGCTTTTCTCAATTTCAACAACAACATCAACAACAACAAATACAAAAAATTCCTCACCATAGATCCGAAAATTTCATCCATAGATAAAAATATCGACCTAATGGTTGGATTATCGTCCATAGATGTTGTAGCGCAGACTTTTGTTAACTTTCTTTGGCAAAATTTTCACAGAAAATGTCGAAACCAAAAGTTCAAAGCTAAAAAATTTAATTATAAGAATAAAATAATTAATAATAACAACAATATCAATAATAATAAAAAAAATAATAATAACAATAATAATAGTAATAACAGTTTTCGCGTTGTAAATACATTGCTAAGTAACGACCAATTTATAAAAATTGATCTTAAAAACTCTATACATAACATTAATAATAATAATAATAATAATAACATTAACAACAACACTTACAGTAACAACAACAACAACAACAGCAATAATAATACCATAAATAATATTTACAACAACAACAACAATAACAACAATGTATTTAAAACAAACTTTCAGAGCAAAACTAAAAAATTTAATGAAAAAGTAAGAAAGAGGGAACGATGCAGATGGGGACTTGTTGCTAAAAAAATGAAGAAAAAAACATCTTATGGCATCAGCAACAAGAACAGCAGCAGAAGCAGCAGCAACAACTTCACCACAAAAAACAACTACTTCAACGCCAGCAATTTCCTTACTAGATCCGTCTCGACAGAGTCAACTCGTCTTAGGCTAATTTCAACGTACGTAAATCAAACATTTTCATTCCACAGATTAAAAATTTTTGACGCCCTAGCCTTCCACTACAAAGACTGGTCCAAGCCAAATAATGCTAATGCTACGTTGAAATTTCTTTTTGAATTCATCTCAGACGCGCTCTGTCTATCGCCTGGTCTAGAGACCGCCCTTCAACATGCCCTCAACGTAGAAGCCGATCACAAATCTAGAAAAGGTTCCAAGAATTTCGGTAGTAGCAACTTTACTGGTGCTAAAAATTCAATTAGCAGTAAGTTCAGCAGTAGTAATAACAGAAGAAATAATGATAGCAGTAGTAGAAGTGGTAGTAGAGGTAGTAGTAGAAGTAATAGCAGTAGCAGCAGTAGCAGCAGTAGCAGCAGTAGTGGTAGTAGTGGTAGTAGTGGTGGTAGCAGTAGTGGTAGTAGTACGTATTTGTATGATTTTAGTGCACTTACAAACGATCAATTTTTATGCAAAGATGATCGCCTGTACCAGCCAGCCACAGCAACAAAATATAATTTCAATAGAAAATTGAAATCAAAGGATAACGATGAAGATGAAGATGATGACGATGACGATGTTAATGACGTCACGGTTCGAAGTAGTTATGGTAATGATGATGATAAGAGAAATGATGAAGATGATGATGATGATGATGAAAGAAATGAAGAGGCAATGGTGTGTTTAGATTGGATGAGGAGAATGCATTTGAGTTATTTGCTCGGTGGACCAACGTCATCATCATCATCATCATCATCACACTCCCATAATAATGGTAATAATAATAATAATAATAATAATAATAATAATAATAATAATAGTAGTAGTAGTAATAATAATAAAAATAATAATAATAATGATGATGATGATGATGATGATGATGATGATGATGATGATGACAGACTGAAGTGGTTTTTTTCACCGAGATACGGGTTTCTAGATGATAATGCTGATGATAATATTGCATCGTCCACATATCTCTACACATCATCATCATCATCATCACCACCATCGTCATCATCACCATCACCATCATCGTCATCATCATCACCATCATCACTTTTAGAAGCAGCAGCAACAACGTCATCATCAAAATTTTCGTCATTATCATTAATATCGTCATCATCATCATCTTTGGAGTATTTCAATTTGTCGAATACCGTATCAGCAAGAAAAATGTTAAAACCATCATCTTCATCTTCATCTTCGTCATCATTATCTTCTTCTTCCTCTTCCTCATCTTCCTTTTTTTCTTCTACGTCACTATCATCTCCATCGTCGCCTTCATTCAGTCAGATGACCGATGACGAAGTTATGACGTCAGCGATCCTCAAACTTTACATCATCAGTTTTATA